GTGGCATTTTTCACCCTCAAACAAACTTACAATTTCAGACAGTTAAGTTGAAATACCTTTTGGCTAGCATACTTCAACCACTTCTGTTCTAATGGCCATATTGGTGATTCTCGGATGCAAAAAACAGAATGGATTACACAGTTATTGTACTATGAAATAAGCTTGCTTCCAAGAAGGTTTGAGCAACTAGACCTGTTGCTATAAAAACAAATTCCGGATGACTTCTGAAACTATCCTAGATCGTATCAAATCATTAATTACATAATCCTGCTAACCTAGTAGTCCACATACCAAGAATGGACCTCTGGTGGGCAACTGTCTTAAAAAGTTTAGCTCCACCTTCAATTGAACATACCTGACCCAGTTTATAAAGGTCCAGTCAAATTAAAATAATGTTGTTTAGATGTTAGTATTAGTATGTTTGTCTTCAAGGACATCTATAAGCTACTATGATACAAAACAATGACAAAATTCAGGTTTAGAAGTTATAAAACCAATTTTAACATGTAAAACGTAGTTTGACACTTTCAACTAAATGTTTATTTCTCCAGGTTACAATGTCCTGAATTTTCATTGCCAATCTTAAGCCAATTGTTATCGTTTGTTTTGGTTCAATTTGAAATTTTCCCACCCAACGCATAGCCCAGAGGATCAGAGTGAGTGCTCTGACCCCACTACACCCCGATCCTAAATGTTTGCTTTTTCACTTCATATTATGCTTTAGTTTCTTATCAAATATTGACCAATCAAATGCTCTCTAGTATCCGATATGTCCTGCCCCCTTTAAGACACTTCTCATTTGCTTTTCATTTGATACGCTTGATCTCAAGCACTTTCACTTGCAGAGCTGTGAGAAAACAAAACGCTATTGGTTGTTTTTTTGTTTGTTTTTTTAAAGGAGGGGGTACTCTACACAGAAAAAAAAATATTCAGCAGAACTGTTGCAAACAATTTATATGGGTTGAACATAAACAAACAAATTAAGTTTAGTTATGCTAAACTTTATTTGTTTGTTCAAATTCAGCCAAAATAAATTGTTTACAACCCCTTAAAAACAGTAATTCCAAGAAATCATCTTTGAATCTTTTTTTCAGTGTATGTCCTGCCTTCCTTTCATTTTTCAGCTGAGATTACATCAAACATTGAATAAAAAATATGCACATTTAAAAGCACCTTACGGGATATTAAAAGTCTTACTAGTCATACTAGAAGCAGCACAGGCATGTGTTTTTTTGGCATTTTGGAGAGTAAACTCTACAGGACATTTATCTCTCTCCAACCAACCCCTACTCTACAGTGTTGAAGATAACTACCAAAAACAAATCAAATGCCACCTCCAAAGCCAAGAAAATGATTCAAACAAACACAAAAATCTCCAAACTCAGTCTCCCCCATCATAGATCTCCCCCTGCTGCTCTCCTGTTATTGAAAATGCACGCCGTAACCAAGATCCTCCCTCCTTTTGAAAATTCATGAGTGTTTGAAAGATTAAACATGACCTTTTGTTGAGATTTTCCTGACAAACGCAGCACATATGGATTGCATGGCAAACCTCTTAGGGGAAAAAACACATAAACACCTGTTCACACATATGCATGAACACTACACAGCAAAAAAAAAAAAAAACACGAAGCTTCTTATTCATGAACTGAAAAGCACGAACAAGCGGGAAAGGGCTGCCGTTCCATGTTACACCCAAGACAAATGACAAGAGGATTCCATCTTCCTAACAAGCAACTTCTGTTCCAGCTCCATTCCCGATCCCTGAGGATGAGAAGGCCTGGTCCTCTCTCTCTATCTCTCATAAATACTCTGCAGCAACCAGGTTCATGACAAGCTTTCACAATAACATGACAGAACATTTCTCCGGGGACACTGCTGATGCATTCTGGGAAATGTATGCCTTGCAGTTACAGTATGCGATGGTTGTGAACATTGCAATGTGTCAGCTTTAACAGATATCCTGTGAGTAATGTTCTATTGATGAACATACTTATGTCATATTCAGTCGTGCCTCTAAAAAAAAAAAACACAAAACATAAAGAATCGCATCCCACGGTGCAAATTCACATCACGGTTCTGCTTCTGATGTGTGCAGATGTCAAAAAGCATACTGTGAGAGTCAGTGTAACGATACTGGAGGATAAATTAAACATTGCTTATGTTCAGACGGAACGCGCTGCCTTTATTCATAACTCATGCCATCAGAGAACCTCTCTGGAGACTTCAAAAGCTACTCGAACTCATTACCATGTGCGCCTCTATCACTGAATCGGGCACAGTTACATCTCCATCTACTGCCGCCCAGGGCTACATTTCCGTTCTGTGTCTCGCATCAACTTTATGAAGTAAAAAAAAAAGAGCCCACGTTACATTAAAGGAAAATGACATTTAACGTTCTGACCACAGGCGATGTGGCGAACGCTGTAATAGTTTGGGTTTGTTTATGGTTTTCAATAACAACTTCTTTCTGACAGGTGCGGAGCTTTTCTGAGCGCGGATGTGAAACAGTAGATGATGTCAGCGCTCGAGGCGGTGTAAGTGAACATGACAGATGATTGGATATTTTAATGACACGATTTCATTTGCATATTAATGAATTCCCTCAATGAACCAACAGAGTGATATCTCCGGATACATCTTACGCAACGCCCTCTTAATGCTGGCAGAAGAACTTATTAATTATGAATGTTAGGCCAGTTTGAGCTGATTTCCATAGTTTAAAGAAAGGAGGAGGATCAAATCCTGAGGGCTAATTTGCTAATAGACTTGCAAATAGTTTACCATAAGGGATGATAGAATCGGGAGGTCAGATGTTGCTTAGCAGCAAACACCAGAGTGAGAAAGAACATTCTGGATTGATTAACTCACAAAACTTGCTGCAGAGTCTTGGTATCTTTACTTTTTAACACTTTAACACCCTTCGATATCAAATAAATAAATGCTACGTTCATTTAAATATCAGAAAAGCAAACATATAGATAGATAGATAGATAGATAGATAGATAGATAGATAGATAGATAGATAGATAGATAGATAGATAGATAGATAGATAGATAGGTAGATAGGTAGATAGATAGATAGATAGATAGATAGATAGATAGATAGATAGATAGATAGATAGATAGATAGATAGATAGATAGATAGATAGATAGATAGATAGAACCTAAATAAATCATACAGATAATCTTGATTTACATAACGTGTGATTCTGTGACCCCAGCAAAAACTCAAGCAGCCAATATTGCCAGATACACAAAACAGATCTCAAAAGTGGCCCTTAGGGGTGCCTTAGGTAATAACAGCACTCCTGCTTTATAACAAGACCATCAACTTCAAATTGCCCACCTAAGCATCAGGTTTCTTTTTAATTGCTTTGCCTCAAATTGCATATACCATTCATAGCGTCACAACATAGACAAAAATAAGAAAACTGGCAATTAATGAAAAGCTAATTGGGCACTTGTTTATAAACATCCAATTAATCTATCTTGGTTGAACATCTTAATGATAGTTTTTGTATTCAGAATGGCTGTGCCCCGTCCACCTCTTTACTAAGCATCAGTGACTCTTAACATAAGATAATTGCTGCCTTACTTCTGCTTTCAGTTCTGAAAATATTACATATTAATATTTAATCAAAAAATGCATCGCTCTTTTAAAATGATACCAACCGTTTGATTTTGCAGTCACATTTTGCAAAGAAATGAAAAGAAAAGATCCTGTTAAAAATATGGTAAATAAAATATGTCAGCTGTGGCCAGAAGCTAAAAAAATACTGACAATGCCTCAGCTATTATTACATACTTTACAGTTCAAAACAAATCTATATCAATAGTAACAGATACAGCTAAATATAACAGCCACAACTTAAATTTTATTTTAACTAAAATATATAATATACACTTTCATACATACATACATACATACATACTACTACTACTACTACCAATAATAATAATAATAATAATAATAATAATATACATGTATAATAATAATAATAATAATAATAATAATAATAATAATAATAACGATAATAACAACAACAGCAATAATAAAATACTACTACTAATAATAATAATAATAATAATATGTATTATTATTATTATTATTATTATTATTATTATTATTATTATTATTACATGTTGTTGTTTAGTTCTGTTGTTATAGAAAGCTAACATATGTGGTAAATAAAATCTGATTTTCCATGTTTAATATTTATCATTGAGCAAAATATGACCAATACATAGAACCTTAAAATAATACAATAATAGTGTAAATAGCCTAAAGTGTAATAAAACGCCATTATAAAGATGACTGATCACCCTAAAATATGAAACAAGTAAAAAATGTAGTGCTTAAAGGTTCTGAAAGTGATATCTTGCAGTAAAGCAGTACATTAATCCATGTATAGCTACACTTCGTAAATATAACTAATGCAAGTTATAAATCAAAATGTTGCACGATTTTCATTCAAGAATAAGCGCGCAGAATCAAATGGAAAGGCGCCTCTCTTGCCTGTTGCGCTGCGCATCGCGTGGCACGCTTGGCATTCTCACTCCAATAAACACACGCTTTACGCAGACCGAAATGTTGAAGGCTTCCAGTTGAGGCTGCTAATGTCATTTCTCATTTTACAGACATTTACAAAATACAGTGAGCGCCACACATTTCCCCGTGCACTGGCACTCGCTTCTGTTTAAAGCATCTTTGTCAATTCGGGCGTTTGGTTTAGTGATGAACCTGAAGCGCATACTTGTGCAAGCGTGCACAGAGTTGTACGAGAATTCGCACCTATTGCACATGCTTCATCCCAAAGAGCTTCCGATAATGCAACAATCGTGATCGGCATTAAAAAACAACATTATACACAGTCATAACAGAACATCACCCAAAGAATGCGTATACATACGGAGTGCGCGAACTCTCCAAGAGAGCTTAATAGGGGAAAGTACTGTATGATGTTAAGGCTCTCGCAAACAGTTAAGTTGTTCTTACCTCTAGCCATCGCATATGGCAGCAGGAGGATCAGGACCGCGAGGAAGCCAAAGCAGGAGTATCGTCCCTTCTTCCCAAAGCGTCCCATCATCTCTGCGCTTCTCTCCTGCGTCCCCAACTAAACCGGGGAGCCGCTCGCGTGTGCCGCTCTCATGCATGTGCCGTGCGTTCCCTTGGCTTCAGTAACAGGTCCCTCCCGTAGCGATAAACCCCGAAGTTCTGCGCGAATCTCTCTCGTCCGCGTGCTGAAGTGAGTGTCTCGCGCTTCCGTGAGACTGGAATAATGAAGCCGGTGCGCGCTGGCCAATAGCGGAGGGTGATTGAGGGCGGAGGGAGCGCAGCGGCTGTCCTTCACCCTGCTGCTCGGATGTGCCGCGAAGTGACCAGATGCGCCTGAGTAAGAGATGATACATGAGCATACATGTCAGATGTCGCCTAAATTCGAGATGACATATGAACAGCTGGTTGCGTTACACTGATTTCATCACAGATCGTGTCGGGCTCCTGGGGGCCACTGGGCTGAGAGCTGAAGCGACGGCGCGTCTCTCGTGCGTAATTTGCTCGGAAGAATAATGGATGTTTAATTAAGCAATATTTCGCACGAGCTAGAGTGTTGTCGTAGTTATGTCTGTAAACAAGTAGGGCCTAATTGGTCGAGCCATTTGCATCGCAGACAATAATTACGCAGTTCATAAATTTTGTTTCCACGGATTAAATAAAAAAAAGACAAGAGAAATGTGTAAAATAAGCCATACAGGCAAGCTGTGTTGTCCCACTGAATAAAAAAGCAAGTGTGGAATCACTGCGTGAGTGGAGCGGACTCAGCGATTTCCCGCACTCTGCAATCAATGGGCAGTTCATTCCAGTCCAAGTTTTGAATTTTACGCATTCCGCGCGCTAACACACGCGATCATTAGAAAACATGTCATTCTAAACATGAAATATAAATAAAACACACGCAATTATATAAATTTTATATTAATATTTGCATGTTCTTTTATTTTATATATAAAAAAACAACAGTCTCATGCCTTGGTAATATGGCTGTTAATTAATGAAGGGCTATTAGAGTTTGAGGTCACTTTACATTACAGCAATGATGTTAATGTGTGCATAATTAACCACAAGCACTTTAATTATATTAATGAAAACAATGGCAATTATAATCAGCTTACAATCACAAGTTGTTGAGCTGTTTTTAAATGTTATTACTATTCAATTGGAAGGGAATATTCAAGACTGGGGCACCCAGTGTAAAAGCTTTAGAATTATCACTTGAATAAAAGAATGAACAAACAAATACAATTAATGACATTAAATTAAATAAATAAATAAATCAGTATTCAAAATAGTGTCATCATATTGTTCAAAGCTTATCCTAGGTAAAATTATTTAATTAAATGCTCTCAAATTATTTTATACCACTTTTTAATATTAATTTTTCCACACTTTAAACTGCCTCTTTTTACAATATACCCATATATATCCCAGGGAATCCATGCTTTAGTAAAACCTGACAGAAGTTATTTTATTTATTTATTTATTCACTCATTCGTTTATTTATTTATTTATTTATTTATCTATTTATTCACTCGTTCATCCATTCATCCATTCATCTATTCATTCATTCATTCATTCATTCATTTATTTATTTATTTATTTATTTATTTATTTATTTATTTATTTATTTATTTATTTATTCACTCATTCATCCATCCATCCATTCACTCATTCACTCATTCACTCATTAATTAATTAATTCATTAATTCATTCATTCATTCATTCATTCAATTATTCATTCATCATTTCATAATAGAAAAAGACAAGTACAAGCTGTAAGCAAATCTGACCCCAACTGTGCAACATGTTCAGTAAAACATGCTACCCATCTGTGATTCCTCTGTTGCCTTTAATTTAGCAATTTACATAAATGAAAATAACGTAAACATCTCCAATATGTTATTCGAGCGTAATTGCAAATGTCTGTGCCATAAACCCTAATCTCTGCGGCTTTTCAGCAGTGATTATTTAGTCCACTTGCATTTGATTTTTGATCTGGTCATCCATAATTATTTAGACCCCAAATATAAAGCTGACATTTAATTATAAAAGTGCAGCTGATCCTTGCTTATAAACTGGCTGGAACTCATTTCCCAGTGAGATTCCTCCACTCACTTAATCAGGATGGTCAACAAAATTTCTTATCCATACATGACTGTGCATTTCAAATTAGGGGTTACACATTTTCAGTTTGAGGAACTGCTTCTCAAAAGAACTTAAATCATTTCAAATAATAAGGTTGAGCTACAAATAATCCATATGCATAGTGGAAATTGAGTGAGAGAAAGGTTTGTGCTTTTAATTTTATTTATGACATGAAAATAACATTTAGCTTGGCATTTTAGGTTGGTATTAGTATGACATATCTGTGATCAAAGCTCATTTGAGTTCATTGTGTTTTGTTTCTTAAGATTACTTTATCTTAGCATTTTAAAGAGCCCATATTATGGGTTTTTGAAAATGCCCTTCCATGTAGTGTGTAACACAGCTCTAAGTGAAATGAAAAATCCAGCTAAGGATTGTAAGTGTTCAGTGTTTTAAACTGTTGATTGATCAATAAAAGAGTCGACTCATAGTGCTTCAAACAAGTCGTCTTGATAACGAGTCATTAGGTGTTTCGCCATGACGTACTAACGAAACCAAGTTATTCACATGCATGCGCAAACCTGGGAGATTTGAAACCTGCGGCCCCGCCCTTTACACAGAAACACACACACAAACATGCCGGTCGATTGAATTCAAACTGCAGACAGATATTATTGCGTGCAAAGCCACAATAAAAACGCGACGCGTGCCGCTTTGTTTACGTTCCCGTGGAGGAGGGTAATGTGTGTGTGTGTGTGTGTGTGCGCATGCGCGCGCTCGTTGTTGTCCGGAGGAGGGTTATGTGTGTGTGTGTGTGCGCGATGTCGTCTGAAGGAGGGTTCTGTGTGTGTGTGTGGACGCGTGTGCGAGGACGAGGGCAATATGTGTGTGTGTGTCTGTGAAAAGAGCAGAATGTGACAAGCTAGGAGATCTCCTTGGCAGTTCTTGGGAGTTTTTGCTCAATAAAATAGTTAGTCGTCTGTATTTTCAAGTCCATCGTCTGTATTTACATTCATCCACTGGCAGCTAAACTCCACGCCTTACACTATCGAGCATGTATGCACTGTGACTACTTCTATGTTGTTGATTAGCTGCTGGGCATTTCACTCTGTCTGTCGCATAAGGCAGTCAGTGTCGACCAATCGCAACAGACTGTCATCGGTCCAATCTTCGCAGATTAGCTTCGCGCTAAGGAGGGGTTTGGGAACAAATGAATCACTGAACGATTCATATGGGAGTCGGTGGGATAATTAGGTAAAAAATAAATGCAGATTATAGGACCATGAAAGTGTTTTTTGACCTTGCATGCATATTAGACTGTTGTTGGAGACTCTTACAACCAAAATTTGACCCTATTTCATGTATAATATGGGCTCTTTAAAACACATCACTGATTGTTACTATCATAACTAATGAAAAGCATCAAGTGTATAGGAAAAAGATGGATAAAGTTTAAATGAGATGCTGAGGTCACACTTTATTTTGATGGTCCATTTGTTGAATTTAATTTACATTGCATCTACATGCGGGCGAGGCAGTGGCGCAGTAGGTAGTGCTGTCGGCTCACAGTTGCTGGGTCGCTGAAGGTTGCTGGAAGGTTGGGAAGGTCACAAGAAGCTTGCTGGGTCGCTAGTTCGAACCTCGGCTTAGTTGGCATTTCTGTGTGGAGTTTGCATGTTCTCCCTGCCTTCGCCTGGGTTTCCTCCGGGTGCTTCGGTTTCCCCCACAGTCCAAAGACATGCGGTACAGGTGAATTGGGTAGGCTAAATTGTCCATAGTGTATGAGTGTGTGTGAATGTGTGTGTGGATGTTTCCCAGAGATGGGTTGCGGCTGGAAGGGCATCCGCTGCATAAAAACTTGCTGGATAAGTTGGTGGTTCATTCCACTGTGGCGACCCCGGATTAATAAAGGGACAAAGCCGACAAGAAAATGAATGAATGAATAATTGCATCTACATGCCAGCTAATACTCATTAGATTATAAGTGGACTGTAAGGTTGGGTTAGGGCTAGTGTAAGTTGACATGTACTTGGAAAGTTTTTTATAGTCAGTTAAACATCTGTTGAAGAAGCAGTATCAACAGATATTAAGCAGACAGTCTATTTATACTCAAATAAATCGTTACAGATGCTTATAGTGTAAATTAATGAGCAGATTAACAAGATTTACACAGTTTTTCAGTGGCGAAATATTGCTTAAATATGTTTATTAAGGATCCAACTTTCTTGTGATAAAGAAATGGTCAGAATCCAGTAAGGATGCTGAAACTATACAAGCACACAAGTCAGGTCATGATATTTAAAGTCATGTAGATTAAAGGGCCACAGTTGACCCCTAAGTCCATCCAGGAGAGACTTAAGAAATATTAATACAGTTATAAGAATATATTTTCTTTATTATTTTTTGAGAAAACATTTATTACTATTATTATTATTATTTTATTTTTTTATACAACTATATCGCTCGATATATAATTGATAATAAATAGTACTGTATCAATCAATAGTTATTTAGCATTTAAAAAATATTTTAATATTATAATGACATTTATCATTATTATAAATATATTATGCATAATTGTTATCATTCATGATATGTATTATATTGGAATTATATTGTTCCCAATGAAATACAACATTTATGTGGCAAAATATCATTAAAAAGAGTTCAAAAAGTGTCCATAATAAGCCTTTAGATGGTCAGAATCCAGTAATGGTGCTGATTAAGCATAACTCCCTACAGCAATGAAGTCAAGCTGATTTTCAAAGTGATGAAGACTAAAGGGCCACGGATGGACCCCGAGTTGAGTTTACAGTCCATCTGGGAGACACAACTTAAAGAAAACGACAGAGAAAGTCTATTGGCACACACTGCTGGCCGCTCTAATAACACCCTCAGAGAAAAAGCTTCAACACAATAGACCTAAAGCCCTTGTTAATATGTAATTTGTCCCACTGTGTCTTGATTCCTAAGTGTGTGCGTGTTTGTGTAAGTGTGTGTTTGATTTGACCTTGCCTGATGGGGTTAAATGTTTAAACAGGCTTTGCGCAACAGACACAATGATGCTTTAAATATCTCTGAGCTCTATAAAAGTGACACGTTGGCCTCTTTCCCTCAGGACAAGCGACAAAAAAGTCACAGTTGTCCTTTTAATAGGCAGTGTCTACAGAGGACTCCATCAGGGGGAATGAGGCTGAATATTTGTATGGTCCATTAGCTGTCCTCTAAAAATGAGGTAGTGGAAAGCAAACATCAAGAGCAGGCACTCACACTATTATGGGACGTCTGCTGTTGCTATGGTTTCGTGGGTTATTTCCAAAGGGTTGAAATGGACCAGGGAAGGT